TTTACAGAAGGCCAGTGAAAAAGAGGATTTTTTGAATGTGCCCATCCAGAAACATCCTCTTATTCCTGATTTCTGGAGTTAAAATTGGGATATCCTGCCTGTAGGTAATGATGGTCAGATTTGGTAGTCTTTGACATTATGTAGATTTTTCAAAAATTAATCGCATTTTTAAAATGACTGGAAGGGTTTTCAGGGAAGGTAAAGTGAAGTCGATTATCAGAAGCTGTTACGAATCATTGCAAGTGTACTACTTCGGTGAGTTTGCTGCTTTTCTCTTCAGATAAGTTGGAAAAAGAAATTTTTGTGAACAAATCAGAATACGGATCAAATGATCACGCACTGCTCATGAAAAATCCAAATAAATAAATAAATGTAGATATGTAGAGAAAAAAAAACACGTAGAAAAAACCAATCAGCAGTTGCAAATTACAAATAAAATAGGAGGAACTTGAATTACTAGTACGGCTTCAAGCTAACCGATGTAAAGCGGCAAGTTACTAATCGAGAAAAAACAGTTATTATTTGTTAATTGAATGCTAAGCTTACTTGTGACAGGTGATTCTAAGAATTTGTGATTCGATTAGATTATTTTGCATTTTTGAGTGAAGTCTGTTTAGATGAGCACAAGAAGATGCAGTTAGTAGATGACGAGGAAATGGTGGATCTGGAGGATCGCATCGGAGATTACCAAAAGAAAATGGACGAGCTGAAAAATAAAATCAAATTCCATGAGGTTAGATAATGATAATTAGTATTTAACTAGCAGTAATTTTATCCTCGCATTCCAATTTTTTTTTTTTTTTTTGGTTAACGAACTTGTTGAAACGCTAAGTAATGCCTACTGTGAAGCTTGCTTGAGTTTTCGTGTGTTGCATTTGCCAGAGAAAATTCAGTTTATGCATACGTTTTTTTTTTCTGAAAAGAAAATTGTAAATAATTGTTTATGGATTCTTCCAGAATGCGCTGATGTTTTCGCTGGAAGTCGAAAAATGTGTGGCACTAGCTCTACGATCGATAATGTGTGGCCAGG